ATGAGCACTACATATAATAGACAAGATAAAATAAGATGATCACTACTTAGCATAGACAGGATAATATAATATGAGCACTAAATATCATAGAGAGGATAATATAAGATGAGCACTACATATCATAGAGAGGATAATATAAGATGAGCACTACATATCATAGAGAGGATCATATAAGATTAACACTACATATCATAGAGAGGATAATATAAGATTAACACTACATATCATAGAGAGGATCATATAAGATTAACACGACACATCATAAAGAGGATAATATAAGATGAGCACTACTTATCATAGACAGGATTATAGAAAATGAGCACTAAATACCATAGAGAAGATAATATAAATTGAGTATTACATGTTATAGATAGGATAATATAAGGTGAGCACTACATATAATAGACAAGATGATATAAGATGAACACTACATATCATAGAGAGGATAATATAAGATGAGCACTACATATCATAGAGAGGATAATATAAGATGAGCACTACATATCATAGAGAGGATTATATAAGATGAGCACTACATATCATAGAGAGGATTATATAATATGAGCACTATATATCATAGAGAAGATAATGTTAGATTTGCACTAGATATCACATTAATGATAATATAAGATGAGCACTACATATCATAGATAGGTTTAGAAATTTGGTAACCATAGGTGGACACTCGTGAAAAGTATCTAGTATTACTGAAGACACTGTTAGATATCTTCTCTCTCATCAATCGTGAAGAAATATTAATAAAATAATATCAATCATGAAGGATGTCGTCAGACGCACGAATAACTAATCCATCCATTATAAATATGTATAGGATTAGTAGTTCCGATGAGTTGCTTAGCACATGTGTCCTCAGAAGCCCACTTTATCTTACCCAACGACTTTTTAGAATACTCCAAATTAACGTCTTTTTTTAACAATCTTTTTCTCCTTTTTTTCAATTGTTTTGTTTTTTCAAAATAATTCAAAAGCATAACCTGCAGAGTTTTATTTGTATCTAACTTTGTATATAGATGTAATCTTTACGCCATCCTTAATCCTTAAGGAGGCACGGTAGTCTAGATGTAGGACGTCCGGCTCGTGACCTAAGGGTTGCGGGTTCGCGTCACGGGTTTGAGCAAGATACTTTACTCCACTTGTGCCAGTCTACTCAGCTGCAAATGAGTATGTGTTTGGGCAGTGCTAGAATTGTAGAATGCTAGCTGTGAGCGCCGAAATGGCAGCACTAGCTGTATGTTCCAAGGGAGTCGAGAAAGATATTGGCTGGTTGCAAAGGCCCTATAACCACTATAATAATTTGTGAACCACTTTTAGACGACCTACGAACTAGGTTGTGATAAAGCGGCATATAAGAGCCTCGAATTATTATTATTATTAATTAGTTAACAATAACATAAGAAGTCATGAGTAATAGAAAAGTCAGCAGAGAGAATAAGTAAATTAGTTGTTTTTTCGTCGTTAATATCTAAGTGCCGATCCCATGGTTGATTAAATATAAATTAATTTATACTTAATTATTACTTTTTATTACTTAAATGTATTATTCATTTATGTTACAGAATGTACATGACGGAGTTCAGGGACATCAACCTTCGACAAACCACCGCCTATATAAGAACTTTTGAATATATCAGGAACCGTCGGCACTTTCCTTAAATGTGAACTTAGTCGACCGCACGCTTGTAATAATCTGTTTATCTTTCATGCAATGCATTAGTCAGGGAAAATATACCATGTGTTATGAAAATGATCCGAATTAACGTTGGAAAAGTAACTGTTAATATGGAGACGTCGATAAGGACTTATACCCCTGCTTGTATCAAGATAATGTGGACTTTTTTGAAATTTGCAAAATATCCACTCAATACAAAATGTATGTTTAATCTTAACGGATCTCCGCCCCACTGCCAAAAACTGTAACAAAGAATTGAAAAGTATTTCTTCCGGCAGACTTTAGCTTTGATAAATCATTTCTGAAACGAAACTATACCGTGTTGAGCTTTGATGAGAAATTATAAAGATGGAATAAACATTGTAATCAACATGAGTGTTCTGAGAGTAAAAAATGAAAGGGACAGGACCGTGATTCGAACCCTGAACTTCAGATTGTTATACTCTCGCTCTAATCGAATGAGCTATCTGGTCAACGGAATTATCCTCGACCTAATGTGCTGCAATTTTATCCAAATAGAAGTTAACCGGAGGTTATTGTATAAAGGGAAAAACGAGGTACAGTGGGACAAGGATTCTTAAATGTGAACCTGGTTTTTAAGAGCATATGGACACATGATTTGTGTTGGGTCAATGCATTGATTCGAAACCCGGACGTCAAATTAATATACAATCGCACTAACTAATTGAGCTACCTTGTCATTGGAGAAGTGTTCTGCCCAAACTTGTTTACAGTTACATCTAAACTGAAGTTAAGGGGAGGTAACTGTATAAAGAAAAAAACGCAAAGTGCAGTGGGGATCCTTAAGGTATCTTGGAATGTTTCTAAAAATGTAGTGTTAGAAAGTAGATTACGTCTTTGAATATGATAACGAGGACATATAAAAAAGAAACACGGGCAGAATTAACAAATTTAAACCGAGGTTGAACTGGGACAGCGATCGCCGACCCTTAATGGGACGGAAGGAAGAAAGAGACGCCTCTCAAAGAAACAGCTGTAAGCCGAGACCTCTCGAAGGAGTGAGAGGACAATAATTCATTATATCATATTTCGTTTCACCAAAAAGCGTTCAATATATGTCATTGTTATATATATGTATATATGAAGTGTCATTCTACCATATATCAATAGATCTTACTTCGAAAAATATGTAACGATATGTGTTATATGTATAATAATTGATATTACCCCTTAATAAAAATTACATGCTTTAACTATCTGACTTAGTTTCTTAGTCAGGTGATGAATATGTTTTGCTTGCCAATATCTATTTTTTCATAGGGGATGATGGAACAAGAACGATACATACAATTGAACACCAGAATTTTACAGTGCAGACGACTCACCAATTCTCTATATCCGGGGTTACGCTCACTCTCGCTCTCTGCACCCCTTCTCTATATCAGGGGTTACGCTCACTCTCGCTCTCTGCACCCCTTCTCTATATCGGGGGTTACGCTCACTCTCGCTCTATGCACCCCTTCTCTATATCCAGGGGTTACGCTCACTCTCGCTCTCTGCACCCCTTCTCTATATCAGGGGTTACGCTCACTCTCGCTCTCTGCACCCCTGGAATATTTAAGGCGCCATACAAGCTATCTGATTGGTCTCAGACGAAAAACCCGATCAATCGCTCAGGCTGATACCTTACCTCCGAAGCTCACAGAGGAGCGAAACCGAACTTCGAATCTATTCGTTTTTTTACCATTATAGGACCGCAAGATTGCTTTGATGTACATCAAAGGATCAAACTAGTCTTTTTGTCTCATCCGTAAGGTTGCGCTGACTGAGGCTTCGGTTTTACTATGACATATGTCTGGGGATGTAGAGAACGGAAGTTAACGTAACACCTGGAGTATCAAGGATGACGACTCAGGTGACAGGTGTCAAGAAACTGCTTGAATTTACTGCTTAAGTGGCACGTGTCCATTGTTTTATACACTAATATACTAAGATCAGTCAATGTACATAGGAACAATAACAAAAAGATACTTATATACTTATACACTTATATACTAAGATACTTATATAATTATACACTTATATACTAAGATACTTATATCCTTTTACACTTATATACTAAGATAATTATATAATTATACACTTATTAACTAAGATACTTATATAATTATACACTTATATACCAAGATACTTATATCCTTTTACACTTACATACTAAGATAATTATATAATTATACACGTATATACTAAGATACTTATATACTTATACACTTATATACTAAGATACTTATATCCTTTTACACTTATATACTAAGATACTTATATAATTATACACTTATATACTAAGATACTTATATCCTTTTACACTTATATACTAAGATACTTATATAATTATACACTTATATACTAAGATACTTATATCCTTTTACACTTATATACTAAGATACTTATATAATTATACACTTATATACTAAGATACTTATATCCTTTTACACTTATATACTAAGATACTTATATAATTATACACTTATATACTAAGATACTTATATCCTTTTACACTTATATACTAAGATACTTATATAATTATACACTTATATACTAAGATACTTATATCCTTTTACACTTATATACTAAGATACTTATATAATTATACACTTATATACTAAGATACTTATATCCTTTTACACTTATATACTAAGATACTTATATAATTATACACTTATATACTAAGATACTTATATCCTTTTACACTTATATACTAAGATACTTATATAATTATACACTTATATACTAAGATACTTATATCCTTTTACACTTATATACTAAGATACTTATATAATTATACACTTATATACTAAGATACTTATATCCTTTTACACTTATATACTAAGATACTTATATAATTATACACTTATATACTAAGATACTTATATCCTTTTACACTTATATACTAAGATACTTATATAATTATACACTTATATACTAAGATACTTATATCCTTTTACACTTATATACTAAGATACTTATATAATTATACACTTATATACTAAGATACTTATATCCTTTTACACTTATATACTAAGATACTTATATAATTATACACTTATATACTAAGATACTTATATCCTTTTACACTTATATACTAAGATACTTATATAATTATACACTTATATACTAAGATACTTATATCCTTTTACACTTATATACTAAGATACTTATATAATTATACACTTATATACTAAGATACTTATATCCTTTTACACTTATATACTAAGATACTTATATAATTATACACTTATATACTAAGATACTTATATCCTTTTACACTTATATACTAAGATACTTATATAATTATACACTTATATACTAAGATACTTATATCCTTTTACACTTATATACTAAGATACTTATATCCTCTTTACACTTATATACTAAGATACTTATATAATTATACACTTATATACTAAGATACTTATATCCTTTTACACTTATATACTAAGATATTTATATACTTATACACTTATATACTCAGATACTTATATAATTATACACTTATATTCTAAGATACAAATAAACAAATAATAAAGATTGCATCATTTCATTTTCATGGCAACATCATTTTTTTTATTCATGCGAAACTTCAGAACATCAGAACACATTAATCAGCTAAAATGTTGCCCACCTGAAGTTCGGTTTAAATTCTGCAATAATTAAATAGTATCCACTGGAAATAGAAAACAAACATACACAAATATGTACATTTAAGTAGCAGGTAATATTCAGTCTAATTAAACGAAGCATCAGAGCTTGTTAATGCATTTAGTCAGTTTAGTTTTGCTTACCTGCAGATCCCTTCAAATGTTAACATAACGTCTTAAAAATGAGAAAAAGATAATAAACAAGAGGACCAATGGGCCTGTATCGCTCAACTGATATTTCTCTCACACATGTAACCTTAAACATGATTAAAAAATAAAGCTACGGGGAAAATTTCAGTATTTATAACTTTAAGTCATTCAAAAGAACCTGTTAAAAGATTTTAAAACATTTAACCCCTGTGATTTGAAATTCAAACATGTCATTAGATTGAACAAACTGTATAGCCCATCATCTCAGCATGCAACTTGCCAAATATCACCACCCTAGACCTTTTCTTTAGTGAGATTAGGTCATTTAAAGGTTTATACATATTTGACCAAACGTGATCTTGAAAGTTGGTCAAGGTCATTCCAATGACTCCATAGTCCTTCATTCAAGCATGCAACTACCCACATATCAACATTCTAGGCCTCATGGTTTTCAGAAGAAAAGAAGTCGTTTAAAGATTTTAAACATATTTGATTCCATTTATTTGAACAAACTTGATAGTCCTTCATCCTAGCATACTACTGGCCAGATATCATCACCCTGGGCCTTTGGTTTTTCAGAAAAAGTCGTTTAAAACTTTTAAACATATTTGATACCTGTGACCTTGAATAAAGGTCAAGGTTGTTCATTTCAAACAAAAAATGGTAGCCTTTCATCCTAGCATGCTACTGGACAGATATCAACATTCTGGGCCTTGGTTATTTAGGAGAAGTAGTTTAAGATTTTAAACACATTTGACCCCTGTGACCTTGAATATAAGTCAAGGTAATTAATTTTAACAAACTTGGTAGCCCTTCTTCCTAGCATGCTACTGGTCAAATAACATCATTCTTGGTGTCATGGTTATTCAGAAAAACTCATTTAAAGATTTTAAACATATTTGACCCCTATAACCTTGAATATGAGTGAAGGTCATTCATTTGAACAAAACTGGAAGCCCTTCATCCTAGCTAGCATGTTACTGGCCAGATATCATCATCCAGGATTTGTTTGGTTATTCAGAACAAGTCGTTTAAAGATTTTAAAAATAGTTGATCCCAGTTACCTTCAACAAAAGTCAAGGTAATTCATTTCAACAAACTAGGTAGCCATCATCCCTGCATGTTTCGGGTTAAATATCATCATCATGGGCCTTTTGATTATTCAGTTGTTAAAAGGTTTTAAACATTTTTGACCCCTGTGACTTTGAATATAGGTCAAGGTCATTCATATCTACTGGCTAGATATCATCATCCTGGATCGTATGGTTTTTCAGAAAAAGTTGTATAAGGGATTTTTTTAGACAATTGACCCCTATGAACTTGAATATAAGTGAAGGTCATTAGTTTGATTAAACTCGGTAGCCCTTCATTCCAGCATGTACTGGTCAAATATCATCACCTGTGCACTTTGGTTATAAAGAAAAGTTGTTTAAATCAAAATATTGAAGCTGGACGCCGGACGACGGATATTGGACGGACGGACGACTGACGACGCACCGCGCTTCGGGCCAGGTGAGCTAAAAAATGCATTTTAGCTAATAGTCAAATGAAATTGATTGTATATTTATATCATAAAGGTGTATACATGTATAAACAAAATACTTGATGTGATTATTCAATTGAAGATGCTGTAAAAAAATATTTATTATGGCTCGGAGTAAAACCTGGGACCTCTGGCTTACTAGTTTCACTCTCTACTGAATAAGCTAAACAGAAATTCTTTATACAGAGTAAGTCAAAAGCAGCTAGTATTTCACCAAGATGAAGGAATGAATGAATTTGACAACAAACTTGGTAGCCATTTATCCCAGCATGTTACTGGCCAAATAGCATCACCCTAGGCCTCTTAGTTATTGAGAAGAAGTTGTTTAAAGGATTTAAACATATTTGACCCCTGTGACCTTGAATATTAGTTAAGGTCATTCATTTGAAAAAAGTTGGTAGCCATTTATCCCAGCATGTTAATGGCATATCATCAACGTAGGCCTCTTAGTTTTTCAGAAGTCGTTAAATATTTTAACATATTTGACCTCTGTGACTGAAAATTGGCAAAAGTAATTCATTTGAACAAACTTGGTAGCCCTTTATCCCAGCAGGCTACTGGCCAAATATCATCATCCTAGGCCTTTTGGTTACTGAGAAGAAAAATGTTGAAAGTAAAAGGTTGACACCCGACAGACGGACGACAGACGGACGACGGACGCCGCACCACGGCATAAATGCACTTGCCCGTCGGACAGGTAGGCTAAAATCGAACAAACTTAGTCAACAATTATTGTCTATATTACACGCTGTCAATCAAAATTTATCACGTTTACATTTCGTTAAAAAATATCTACCCATTTCCCCGGGCAATTAAATAAAAGGTTAGACCTGGAACATATAACTTGTAAGAAATTGTAGTTT